AAGCACTGTGCATTTAAATTTTACTAAGAGTAAATTTCAAATGTTTGATCACAAAAATGTTAAAAATTTGAGAAGATGAATATGTTAATTAGCTCGATTTAATCATTCTCATGTAATAAAAAAATCATAACACCGCTTTGTACTCCATGAATATATACAACTATAATTTGCCAATTAAAATGAAAGAAAAAAAAGAAAGGGATGCATTTGATCCAAATCAAGAATGATGAGTCCAGCTTCCTAGCTCCTACCTCCCCCTCTATACAAAACACTCTTCTGAAAACTCAGATGTCTGGGACCTGCAGGAGAATGAGACCACATTCTGTTTTATCTAGGAATCACACCCCATCCATAAGGCCCCGAAAGTGTTCTAAGTCATTGAGAAACTAGTTTTCACATTTCTTTATCTGCAGTGGCTGCCTGGGAATGCAAAGTGTTATTGTTACCTGTGTCTAGACTCTGCATTCAGAACCCTGTGACCTTCACCAGCCAACATGTGAGTGGGCAGAACTTCCTCAAGGAACCATAAGTTCTAGAAACAAGCACCAGAGCCTCATGAATGACCCACAGTGACATTTACAAGGGGTTATCAAAATATACAATGAATGTTTAAAGGACCAAATTTTTTACATTAAGACACATCATCATTAATCCCCTCAAAATACTCCCCCTCACTTTGAACACATTTATCTCACTGTTCTTGCCACTTTCCCAAGCATTTCTGGAAATCCTCTTTCATGTCTTTATGAAGTGTGATCAAAAATATGGAGACTGCCCCTGCTGAGTGCCATCCAACAGAAAGGTAGGCTCGTAAAAACATTATCCTATGTCCTCCTCCTCCTTATTTGCCAGATCTGGCACCATGTGACTTCTGGCTCCTCCCCAAAGTCAAAATAACCATGAAATGTAAATGCTTTGGATCAGTTGAGGACACTGAAGCAGCCACAACAGTGCGATTTGGGGCAGGTGACTGAGGGCCGAGACGGTCCACTCAAGACCTAGGGAGAATAAGCCCTCCCTTTCCACCTGCTTTGGAATTTGGTCTCCTGGCTCTGAGCTTCCAAAGCGTGGTGTGCACACTGTCCTGCAGGAGTTAGCACAGTCTGCTATGCAGTTCTGATATGGGAAATGGGAAGGCGTTCCCAGCTCAGGTAGAGGTATTGATGGCAGGATCCAGCCAACCACACACAGCAGCTGCCACACGGGCTATGCAGCCAGACCCAAGGTTTTCTGTAAGAACCACAGACAATGAAAACTGTTTCTGTGACATAACTCTCTGCTCTACTCAAGGACAGAAGGCACAGCCCGGCCTCTTTTCAAGTTGCTAATGAACCTGTTTACCACCTTCCTCCTCTGCCCAACACAAACACACACACACACACACACACACACACACACACACACACACACCCCTACCAAATGTGAACAAGATCTACCTTTCTCAGATTCCCTGTCTTCCCCCTCTCTTTTCTCCCCTTGTTTATAAATCCTGGTTTGTTAGTCACTGACTACTTTCCCTCTCTAGGATGGCTAACCACCCTGTTTGGCTGAGCCTGAGGGATGGTTCTTAGAATGCTAGATTTTCGGTTTTAACACTAGACAGTCTCAAGCCAGCCAGGACAAACTGGTCACCTTATCACTCCCATGTGAGCAAGCTCTGGTAAACTGTCTCAAATCATGACTTGCAACGGCTTACCATGTAACAAAATATTTGTGGGGGCTTCCTTCAGCAGTACATTTACTAGCATTGGAAAGATACAGTGAAGGTCAGCATGGTGCCTACACAAGGAGGACAAGCAAATTCACAAATCACATTTTTCAAATAGGAAAATATAGTAAGTGCTTGGTAAACAGCAGCCACTACTACTGTTACTGTATTTGAGTTGGAAGTGCAATGTCTCTTCCACCTTGAAGAGATCCCTTCCTTTGGTACTTGCCCATAGTTCAGCAGTGCCCCTCAAAGGTTGTCTGTGATGGGCATCATTTCATCTTCTTTTACTTTCCAGTGCATGCCAAGCCAGTGCTGTACACAAGCCCATCAAACTGCATCACTTCAAGTCAACAAAATTCGTGAGGGCCCTACCAAGTTACTAATACTTATAGGGGCCCAGAAAATGATATCCCAAAGGATTTGCCTGACATGCTGAATACTTAGAACTAAAAAAGCAGCCTTAAGTTCTCTCTGATCATCCCTCAGTCCTGTTCCCATCTCTGCATCCTCTTTCCCTCCCTAAGCAAAGCGCAGGGAGTGGCTTTCTCTGAAGTTCCCTCATCAGAGGAAGGCGATTCCTGGAAAAAGGAAGCAATTGTCTAGGATCATCTCCTGGTGATAAAGCAGGGAAGATGAACTCACAGGAAAAGGGACCACAGCTCTGATACTTGGCCCAGAGCAACTTCACCACAATCAGCCATCTATTTGTCAGAGGGCTTTGCTTAGAGACTGCATGTACATAGCAAAACAGATTGTTCACCATGCATGGCTCCCACACTCCCTTGGGCTATACCTCCCACAGAGGACCCCAAGCCCCTATTCTCATGTGTCACCATCCCCTCTACTTCTTCCTGTAGCTCAGAGTGCTACTTAAGCTTCGAACATGTGGCCCATCTTTCAGACTTTGTATAATTTCTGCATGTTTGCACATAAATACATTTGTATGCCTCTTCTCCTATTAACTGGTCTACTGTCTGACTCAGTCATGGAACCCTCAGAGGGCAGAGGAAAGTTCCCTTCACCCCTATACTGTGTAAAGCAGAGATTCTGTACTAGTCTGTAAATAGATCTGCTCTGCTGCATAAGCTTCAGGCTTGGTGTAGGACCAGACAGTGAGTAAATGGACTCCCTGGTGATATATTATGTTTTGTGGCTGGAGACAAGAAGGAGGTTTCTGGTGTGCTGTGAGAGTTTCACGTGGGAAACCTAATACAGGTCCAAAAATCAGACAAGGCTTTTCTTGAGGAAGTCACATTTAAACAAAGACCAAAAGGGTAATAAGAATTAAGTAAGTAATAAAAGGTAAATTGCTCACTTTGAGAGATATAAATGGCCCTGCAATTTGGGTTGTTCCTCAAGTTCTTAAGAGTAATGAACCAGAAAGTCTAGTTATTTAAATGAAGCCAATGGTAAAAAGTTAAAGACTTTCACGTATCATAAATGATTATCCCACATTCAGCTGCTTTGCGAGGATTACTGTATACATGTGCCCTAATTTGAAGGACAGTGATCCATAAAACTCTAGTGTGATCCAAGGACTGGGTTATGTAGGAGTGTTCCTGACTTTGGAAAGGGTTCTCCACTCTTCTTAGCAGCATCTCAAGTATATCAGGACCCCAGGGTTACGTGGGGTAGAAGAAAGAGGTGAGAATAAGGTCAGAGTCTGAGTCCTGATCTTACGTTGTTCTTTACTAAAATATGCCTTTGTTCTGGAGCTTCATTTTCTGTGTGTGTGTATGTGTGTGTGTGTGTGTGTGTGTGTGTGTGTATGTGTGTGTGTGTATATGTGTGTATGTGGTGCTAGCGGTAGAACCCAGAGCAGTATGCACGCCAACCACTGAACCACAACCACAACCCTTCATGTCTTCAAATGGGTACAATAATAATACTTTTCCCTCACCACCAGCTGTCTTGTGGCATTTGTATGAAGAGCAAATGTCCTGGGGAAATGTTGGCTGTCAGCAACCCTTCTTCCCTGCAGAAAGTGATTGGCAAAGCGTGATCAAAAAATAGGGTGAGTGTTTCAAAAACTTTTTAGATGTATTACAGCAAAAAAATATACATTGGCATCAACACACTCAAAATACTTTCCCTCACACAATTCTGGAAGTCTTCTTCCTCATCTTTAATTGTGTTGTCATGGCTGCCTTGAGATCCTCAATCACTTAAAAATGTTTACCTTTCAGGGTCATTTTGACTCCTGGGAAGGGCCAGAAGTCACAGTGCCGGGTCTGGAAGATACGGTGGATGAGGACAGACTGTACTGTTTGTACACCTCTGTCTTTACATTGAACAGCAGTCAGCAGCATTCACCATGTTTTTGATCACACTGTGTAAAGCCAGGAGAGAGGACTTCCAGAAGTGCTTCAGAAAGTGGCAAGAACAATGGGCTAAGTGTGTTCAAAGCAAGGGGATACTCTGAGGGGGATTAACGGCAATGTGTCTTTTACTATAATAATTTTCAAAATCCCAACATTCACTTTATATTTTTATCACACCTCGTACTTCAGAACAGGAGCTGTGCATACCGAGGGCATAGCCAAAAGCAGAAGCAGGGGCTCTGCCTAGTGGTTGAATAGTCATGTGATATTACAAGGTAGAGGGATCATATACACTCCGGATTCAGAAACATCTAACCCTGAACCCAACCCTGCCCTTTCCAGCTGTGGGAACTCTGGCCAGTGGCTGAAATCTACCTCAGTGCTCCCAGTAATGGGATGGGATAAAAATAGCTACTTTTCAAAGTTGAGCAGAGAAAGAAAAACAATGAAAATAAAAGGGCAAACAGAGCATCTGGATAGTACTCTGGATAGCACTGCTAAAACTCTTTAAAATAACCCAAGTTTATTCCAGTCTGAACTCTTACAATAACCCAAGTCCATTCCTGGAGTCTCTACAGGCACTGTTCCTCCTCCTGGAATTCTGTTCCTCTAGCTGTGCATGCCCAGCACTGCTTATCTCCCATTCTCCTCTTAAATGCTATGCCTGGGGGCCCTTCCTGGCCACTCCACTTGGACAGGGTTTCCTCTGCAAATCTTCATCAGAAAACTCCACTGGATACCCGTGTTAGTACTTCATCCTTACAGAAAGACACAACACTAAGCAGCTTGCAAACACTCATTATCTTAAGTTGCTGTGAGGACCAGGATCTGGCTTCTGCTTCCCTGAGTCCTCTATCTCCCCTGGGTCTCCTGGCTCAGAGTCTCACACAGGCTGGAATCAAATGCTGGCTGAGGCTGTGATCATCTCGAAGTTCAGATGGGAGGGAATCCACTCCCAGCTCACTTACCGGTGTTAGTGGGTTTCACTGGGGTCCTCACTGGCTGTCGGCTGCAGACATCAGTTGCTTGCCCCGTAGGCCTCTCACAGGGCTGCAGCCGGCACCCATCAGATTGAGGAGAGAGAGAGAGAGATGACAAACAAGGCAAAAGACAGACTTTCGTCATCTAGGAAGTAGCATCTCATCACTTTTGACAGCTTCTGTTCCCTAAAAGTATGCCGGCAGCCCCCACTCACACGGAGGGACAAAAGACTCCAAAAGAACCTGCACAGCTGGAGGCAAAACACCTAGGGCCACGGGACCTCTGGGACTTCCTGTAAGAATAATGTTCCTTATACTTTTCTAAGTTCACTGTTTCCTACTTCTTTCTCTTGCTGCTTTACAGTCTGACACTTTCTGTAAGACTGTAAGCCCCACAAGGGCAGGGACTGCATGCAAGGCCAATGCTAGGAGCTTACTCAATGAACAATGAAGGCATTCAGAAAGGATGGCTGCCTGGCCCCAGCCGCTGTGCTGCAGGCCCGTGGAGAGCAGGCTGCTCTTCCTGTTGCTGCACACAGACAGAGGCAGCAGGCAGCATCTTCACTCTCATTTTTTTAAACCTCACAAGGGACCATGACTCTTGCCTTGTAAAATAACTGAGAAATTTCCCAATTCCTGCAGAAGATTTCTTTTGCCTTCTGGGTCCCTGTCATCATTTCTGAGACTGTGCCAACTCATCCCTCTGTGTTGGGAGGGAGAAGGGCTGGCAGGGGAGGCCCAGACAGACAGTGGAAGGAGAAAAGTTCTACAGGGCACAGGGATCCTGGGGAAGGTTTTGACGAGCCGGCCGGCCAGGGGCCTGAGAGCTGACTGTCTGCTGCCCGCTGCCCTGTTTGACGAATTGTTTGCCAAAGAACCTGGCCAGCGGGAGCTTTGACCTTGGAGGGAGAGCAATCTGTCTTCATGGAGACACACTGTCATAAGCACATGTCTCAATTTCGCTTGGGAAGGCGCTGAGGCTGCGCAAGACAAGAGCCTTGGACATGGCTAAGGAGGAAAAATGTGTGGCCCATCCGGGGCCATGGAAGCATCTAAAATTAACCCAGAGTGACCCTGGAGGGCAGACTGGAGAACTGTGTGCTTCGTTCAGTGGCAGTGAGTCCTCAGCAAGGCCAGCAGCATGGTCACTCCTTCCTTGGGGAGCCAAAGTGCCCCTCACCTCCCATATTCCAAGATCAGGCTCTTCATTTGTCACTGAGGACAAAGGGCACCAAGCTCTTCATTTGTCACTGAGGACAAGGTGAGGAGGGAATCTTTGGAGGCAGTGCCTGCGCCAGTAGGTCCCTCACAGAAAAAAAACACTGACCTCTGCTCCATCCTGAAGGTCAAAGAGGTGACATCCTAGGGGACAGGGCAAATGATAAATCTGCCACCTCCACAGTCATCTCTCCAAGGATCTGACTAAGCCGCTCCCCTCTATCCATGGTGACAGCTTGGGGGAGATTTATCTGCAGGATCTGGGGCTGCTACCGAAGCTGCCAACTCATGAATCTGGAGGAAAGGCAGCGACGGAAGCCTGAGGTGTGCTTATTAAAGCAGAGACAGGGACAGGAAGAAGAGTTTGGAGCTCCTGCAGGGCCCTGGTTTTGAGTGACACAGGAACTGGGCAGTATGGGATGGTTGGGCCTGGCTATTTTGGGATGAATGGGACAAATAGATCATGTTCATGGGGAGAAAATAAAAGCCAGAGGTGCTCTGAGAAGCTGATCATAGGCAACTGAGAAAGAGCTGTTCGCCGGGGAGGCGAGGAGCCTTTGTGGGGTGGTTGGAAGCTCACAGCCCAAAGCAAAGCACAGGCCTGGGCTGCTGTCAGATGATGTGACATCCATGCCAGGCCCACAGGGGCACTGGGGGAGGAGCTGTGGAATGGGCCTCCTGCAGAGAGAGTCGGTCTCCACGCTGACAAGGTGGGGCCACAGCCAGTCTGCTCCAAGACAGAGGCCTGCACAAGGTGACCTCCCAGGAGATTCTTCCAGGAGAACAGCGATTTATCTCCCAATATTTCTGTGAATGTTGCCTTTCCTTGTCTTCTCTCTATGTGTTTGATTGCTTTCCCAAAGCCATTTTTACACCACCAAATGTCAGGGAGCCAATGAACCAGTCTTGAGTTTTCATCCAATTTTGTTTTTAAGAGATGAGGTCTAACTATGGTGCCCTGTCTGGCTCAAATGATCCTCCTCCCCCAGCTCCTCAGCTAGAACTACAAGCCAACACCACCACCCCTGCTTAGTCCTGAGTTTTCAAAAGGGTAATGTTTATGTATTTATTGTCATTTTATGTTCATAATCCAGAAGAGGAGGCAGGCATAGCAGCCTGCAAGCCTGGACTCCATGCAAACCAACTGCTCATCTCTGGCCCCAGCCAAAGACATGAGGGACTAAGCCAGCTTCATAAAGGCATCCTGCAGCCCCAAGGATACAGTGAAGTCTGAGGAGGAGAGAATCCCATCACTAATCTGGGTTTGTTAGGGGAAGCGAAGGAGACTTGAAAAGAACATTCCAAAACTCAGTGTGACTGGCACACACACAATGACCAAGTATTAGCCAATAGTTTTACCCAATAGCGAAGAATTGCCAGGTTTTACCAGTGTCACCATTAGAATCAAGGCTTGTATGAGTGCATGTACCCTTTCCACACCACAACCCTCTCAGCTTAATTCTTCCCCACCCCAGGGTGGCACTGACCCACTCACTCTACTGCAACCTGGAAAGTAATCTTTATCCTTTTGGGTAGGGGTGTTAATATCTGCTAGAAAGGTTTAAGATTAGAGTCATGGAAAATACATGATCTACTAGCTATTAATATTTCAAAAGAAACAATACTAAGAAGACATAAGAAACAATGTTATGTGAATTCAACTTATGGTAAAACCCACCAAGTTCTTCTGCCTTCTTTGGGTATATAGGATAACCTGTTTTTGCTTTTTGTAAGGTGGCATATAACGCAAATGTTCAAAGAATTGAAAAAGAAACATAAAATACAGTGACACTTAAGTTTCATCACTAGACAGTTGCTAGTGTGTGTGCTTAAGAGGCCAGGTTCTCTGGTAGTCCAGCAGCAGTCATCCCTCTGAATTTTTATGTCATGTTTCCAACTTTGAAATGTAAGCACCTCATGTGGGTATTTTTAATCACCTGGAGGTGTTTGTGCATCATAAAGAAATAAAACATATCTGAGTGTCAGCATCAGCCCATTGGCAAATCTGCTATACTTGATTTGAGGTCCTGGAGTTTCCGAGTGATTGATGGTAATTGCAGTTTTCTAGTTGCTTAGATTTTGAGGGCTTTTTTTTTTTTTTAACATTAAGTGGTCAACAGAGAAATGACAGAGAGGAGAGAGGGAAAGGCTGAAAAGAAGCAAGTCCCTTCTCCTTATCAAAGTGCTTAGGTGTCATTCGGAACGTGAAGGCTCAGTGACAGGTAGATTGAGAGAGAGGAGCAGGAAGAAAAATGAAGATTGGTCAGGCTGGACGGAGCCTGCGTGTCCTCCTGACATCCCCCAGAGACCCTGTGAGAAATGACAGCTGTTTATTTGGCACAGGTCGCTCTTCCACCAGCTAGCCATGTGAAGTCACGACCTGCTGGAAGAAGGGTCCTCAGGTCACTCTAATCTATGTACTACACACCGATCAATAACACAGGAGTTACGCCCCTACCCATAAACATGTAACTCAATCAGCACTGTGAAGGTGGGGGTAGAATGTGCCCCCTGAAAACCTGCTGTGAACAGCAGAAAATGTGGGTGATTTCATTATCCGAGATTGCTTTGTCATATTTCTGCTGAACTGAAGGATAACTGAAATGAACATTAATAATTCAGCACCACGGCCAGGACTACAGAAGCTTCTGGCCCTGCCACTCTTGCTCCCAGCCTTGAGCTCCTCCTGGATTTGGGGGTGTGGAAACACCTGGACCCTGGTGGCCAGGAGGCACCCCAGAGGCAGCTGTGCCAGCTCCAAAGTGACTTGGATCTGAAGGGTTTCCTGACCCTCAGAGGAGGTCTGGTCCTTATGGAGTGAGACAGGTGTCCAGACCCAGCCACGGCTGAGCTTCTTAACAGTCCCTAGAAATGCAGGCAACAGGGTTCCCTCGCAGGACCATCTTTGGCCATAAATTGACTCAAGAAACAGGTTGGATGAATCTTAGAAACAGAACTTTTGTTGTCCTAATCTTTTTTCCACTTCCCTGTCATTTTCATCCAATTTCTCCTTTTTCTTCTCTCTCCTTTCCCTCTATGATTTTCTTGCTTTGTTCCATTTATTGTCTCTTTATGAAATAGAACTCTATCATGGTAAAGCAGATGAGCACTTAGAGGCTTCTGGTTCCAAGGTTAGCAAACCCAAATATTTTGGGGGGCCCAAGCACATGGAGCATGGGCAGTAAATTCAATGCTAACAAGAGGTGCACCCGGACAGTGTGTGTGCTCTTTAAATTTATAATTTAAAATTTTAATGCTGTCCAAACAAAACCACCTGATGTGACCTCTGGACCCCCCGGACTGAAACTCGCTCTAAGCTGGCCCCATCCGTACAGAGGATGAAATCGAGGATCAAAGAAAGGGAAGTGATTGGCCCAGGACAAGGCAGGAGGTTGAGACTTTCAGAATACCTGAGCTTGCTTCCTCTACACTCTTCTGTGTGCGTTTGTCACTCACTTGTTTACTTAACTACTCATTTAGCCCCAACCTGCTTCCAGCTCCAGGTACCAAGGCTCTACATCTCCTGAACACTTGGTCTGTCTCTGAGAGGTCACACGGTGCTATTTATACTTAGTGTGACAAGAGCAGGGAGAGAGTCACAAGCTGTCTGCCTGGGGACCCATAGGCACAGAGACTTTCATCAGACCTCCGTCCAGGGCTTTTTCAGGGCACCCTTCCTGCTGACCTTGACCTGTCACCTTGAAAGCCCCGGTTCTTATGCACTGGACTGTGTGATGAGCCCAAGTACATGTCACCATCAGAATGTCTACCTGTTAGCCCACGCTGAGACAGGCCTGAGGAAGACCTTGGCATTCTGGTTAGAAATGCTACCTCATGCCTCCTAGCACAGAC